GCAGATACTAGAAGATACGAATGCCAAGTCCATGGCATTCATAAAACCTGTAATGAAATTAGTGTAGTTTATTCTGTATACTCCACTTGTCACCACTGTATCGGATCGATCAGGGTTTTAATAAATGGGATGTGAAAATGTATCGGTTTTGATAGTTTTACCAAGGGTTTTCGGTTTTGATCGAATTTTTTTTCGGTTTTGGAGGATTTTTTCTACGGTTTTGCGGTTTCTAATAGGCCTCAATGCCCCCCTCCTGTGTGGACCGTTATTCCTTCTGTTCAGTGCAACTCCATAAAGGGAGCTAAGACAATATTAGTTTTGCATGCTCAATGCAGACACTAGTTTAATGTAGCATTTTAATTTGGGTAAATAATCGTAGATATTTTCCAGGTTTCTCTTTTGGTTTTTTATTTTTATCATTTCCTTTTCAATTGCTGGAATCCCAGTGGAAGCCAGAAACCATCTGCAAAGCGGAAGGTATCATATTCCTCAGTTTCAGGAGCCAGAAGGTCCGGCCAAGGATATCATCAGGACGTTCAAAACTGCTAAAGGTAGTGTGTTTGGGGCCTTAACCCTTCAACCTGTGAGAGTGACTAGCATCTAATTTCTCCCTACAATATCACTGTTGAATCAAACATTAAGGTCATGAGAATAAAACAAATGGTCACCAGGGATGCAATCTTTTGATTGGCAGACAAATTCTCCTTTTCAGCACCTGAGGAAATGTGTAACGAACAGTGTGGAGAATATACATACTGATGTCAGGGTGAAAAGGGTTTACGAAAAAAAAAAAAAGTAATCGTTTGAGTCGAAAGGGAGAAAAGACCTTCAAAGCTGGAAACCAAATACTAGTCCTCCAAAAGGTATATATGTTTTTATTTCAGAGCAAAGTTTATGCTCGTACAGATGCGTGCAAGGCCTTGCATACGTGGAATTTCAGAGGCGTGAATCAAACTTTAAGTAAAGCGAAAGAGAGGTTTACTCAAGGTTGTTGGGTTGGAGAAAAGACAAAGGTTCGGACGCAACTTAGGGCGCTCTTTATTTCGTGCTGTGCATTTTTGGGATGAAAGAGTTGGCTGAAAAATTCTGTTTGAGAGGTCACGATTCCTGCGCCAACTGAATGTACGTCCGTCATTTATTCGCGTTGTTAGCTCAGCTTTGCTTCTTTTTAATCCGATGAGATAGAAGTTAAGACTAGTTCGGAATCTCCATTAAGCGACATAACAGATTAGTTCAGATTGAATGGAAATGAAATAAAACTCTCATTTTTCAAGACGTTAGAATCACTGAAGTTTGAAGAATTCATGTATTCGACTGTAATAACTGAGCCTACAGTTGTACAGGACTCTTTTGATTAAGCTGTATGAAATTGTAAACCAGTAGGATACCCGTGATTAAATACGCTTCGTGTTTGGAAAGTCCCAAGTTTTCCTTTAGCCCATTTTTGTTTCTCTTACAGGTTTCTTTGAATTTTTTAAATTTTCTTCCTATACTTTGCATGACAGATGTTGTTTCATAAATTTACTCTTGAAATTTTGCGAAGGAAAATGGCGAAATTCAAGGACTCCCAGCTGCAGCAGTAGATTTCAGTACGGTTGCACTTGTCACGTTGGACACAATCACAAGGTCATTTCGGGAACACCGTAACCAAAACAACAACGCGAAATCACCACAATTTGCGTCGTCTGCGAAACGAAACCGCGACGGCAAATTATTTTAATTTCCATTCGGAACTCAACGCTCCTTTTATACGTTGTGCTGAAGTTGAGGTGTGGCGCCGCATAAGACGGTAAACACGTGCAGCCATTTGTTTGTTTTAATCCGAAGTTAATGCGGGTGTCAACGTCATTGCGTGACCTAAAACGGTGATGCAGAGAAAACTGAAATAAACAAAATATTGATTTTTAATTACACGAAAGCCTCGCGTTAAAGGTTGTAAATTTTGAATGAATGATTTACGACTTTAAGTTTGAAATTTTTTGCGTCTGTTCATTTGGCTTCAAGTGGACTGTATATTATTCAGCATGGTGCGGCACTTCAGTCGTAAGGCGTGCAGCGATTGGGCGAACACATATGTCGTCCCACTCAAGCTAACAAAGAAAAAAGGAAAATAAAAGAAAGGATTATGGCGCTGGCATTATGCCTGTGTTTCATAGGCGGATTGATTAGCATTTAAAGGATAAGCTTCATGCGCCGATTGTGACAACATCGAGACACTGTGAGGAATTGAACGGGAACTTTACCATAGAAGTTGGTTTCAACAGCAAATTATTTTTCTAGCAACACTGAAATGTCTTCACTCGAGTTCCCAAGGTAAGTACGTGTGTTTATTTTATCTTTGCTTGAATTGATACTGTCATCTACTGGCAAAGTGATCTTGGCATTTTGCAAAACTACCACAGACACAAGCATTGGTGCATTTAGAATGAGCGTCCGAACAAACAATTAAAACGTAACCTCGTGCGTGAATTTTAAGACCAGCTTTGGAAATATGTGAAAGGCTCTTTGTTAGATCTGGAGATGATGAGTTTCTATTAGGTTAGAAGTCTTTTCATTTTCGATACAAAGCTTGATGTCTCGGGAAAAACGCCCCTGAAATTATTCCGTGCGATGATAGCTTTGTACGTCTGACTGATTCATTAGTGATCACTAATTTAGATGCGCTGTCCTTTGTCTTAATTTTAGATAGTTGTTGTGACTGACTACTGTCGCCTCAAATTATCACGAGAAAATCTTTCTGTTTGAGGCGCTTGGAACCGAGATTTGCTACCGTAACGCAGCTTAAAAGCTGCCAATTGATAATAAAAGACCCGCCTGACTTGCATTTTCCCTCAACTTTTTCCATGGACCGTTTGGCAAATATGCATTGACAGTTCTCAAAGGAGCGTTTAAAATCAGTAAACTCATCGGATTTGTGAACCATCTAATGAACACTCAGAAGTTTTCGGCAATGTGTACAAACTCGTCCTTTACCTTGGATACGCTTGTCAAGTTTGTCAATTAAGGTAGTTTTAAACATACCATGTTCAAAATAAAGGCACTTTCACACTCTTTACAGCGGCTTCGAAAGCATTTTCACTAAATCCTCCTGATTTAATGTTGAAAAGCCCTTGAAAGGTTTTTTTAATTTAGACGCCGCTACAAACTTAATTTGGTTCGTTTTTTCAGGGCAGGGCTTAAACGTGTCTTTTTTTTTTATTTTTGCTCAACATCTCTCGAACTTTTTCTGGGGCATTATTGTTATTTATAAAGAATATATTAATGTTTAATGTGACGATGTGCGTTTGTGCTTAAGTGCGTGTGATTTAGTTTACACGAATGCGTGACGCCACGCCACGGACCAGTCATTTATTATCGTCCGGAGGGGGAGGGGGGGGGG